CGGGGCAGCTTTACTATACTTGCCGGTTTTGAGTGAATGCGTTTCAATTTTACGTCGAACAATGGGTAAATCAACGCTCAATAGGCGGACGCTCGCGCGAGGGGAGAATTACAAAAGACGCCAAAGAATGAGGCACACAGAGGGACAAGAAAGGAACGGGGGGAAAAAATAAGCGAATTCGGGGTAATAAAAAAATAATATGGAGGGGGGTGTTAGAAGGTGACGCCGCTGAATTCCAGCCAAAGAAAGGAGGAAACAAAACACAAAGGGGGAAAAGAAAGCTGGATACAAAAAGTTTTAAGGATAAGGGTGAAAGAAAAGAGCTCCGATCTAGTTACATCCCACCGAATTCAGCGCTCAAGAGCGTGCGGCGAGCAACGGTATTAACAGTTACAATGGCCAGAGCGCGCGGTTAGAAATAATAACGGTAACAAAATTGCGAGTGGTACAGCAAAGACGAAAAAGCGTAAATACACATTGGAACCGAGAGAGAAAGAAAGAGGGAAAAGGGAGAGGAGGAATTTCGGCGCGACAAAAGAATGACACAACCGAGAGCCTCCGATTTTGTCGCGCGACGCCCTCTCTCGTCGAATCCTGCGAATATCCGGTCGCTTGTCGTAGCGGTTCCGTCCTTGCGTTGTGTACACACACACACAGAGAGGCCGGCACAATGGGCGCCTTCCCGACACATGGTGTTGTGTACAGTGCTCCGGCATCGAGAGCGTATCGTAAAAGTCAAAGAAAAACAACAACACCAAAAAAAAAAAAAAGAGGAAGAGGGAATGAGAGAGACGTGTTGTCCCCTTTGTCTTCCTCGAGCTGTCCGCTTTTGAGTTCGCTTCCATTGGACGCAAACCTTCCGGTCCGTGTCAGTCAATCGGCTAACACTTCCGGTACATTTATTCTCGCTCACTCTAAGCGGGAGGGTGAAAGTGAGGGCGAGAGAGCGCAACAAAAACGTGAAAAGTATACCCGTAAAAGCGACGAAGGCCAAACTTCAGCCCTGGCCGCGCGTGCTGAACTGTGCTTATCCGGACCACCAATTTAGTGAACTCTGCTTTGCGTACAACTAGTCGCCACGAGGAGGCGGATCCCGCCCCGCATAAGTCAACTGCGAAGTGGACATTTGGACAAGGAGGTTTCTCTGAACCCATCTTACTTCTTAATAAGGCACCGCAGTTTACCACATCTTCAGCTTCTCGAGTACCGCATTATCATGTCGCGAAGTGATCTGCTGACATTTTTTCTTAGTTGTTTGCCGCTTGGGGCGGGTCGGGAATCCACTAACGATGACGTCAAACGCAAGCTTTGTCTGCTAGGTGGTATGAGGAGCGCAAGTTCGTCTGCTTGTTTTGCAGGGGTTGTGGTGACGCCAGAACGCCGAGTTACGATCGTTTCTGATTGAAGAATGGTGGGTAGACATGCGAGGTATACCCACTATCCTTTAATCAGAAACGATCAGAGCTCGGAGCTCTGACGTCACAACCCATGCAAAACAAGCAGACGAACTTACGTGGGTCCAGCTCTCCGCACTGGGTCCACCTATACACCCCTCTAATATTTACAATTCCTCATCCCAGCGTGCGATCTCCTCAGCCCAGCACACCGCATGTTCGTCGCTTCGGAAAGCGAGCAAATCATGCGAAATACACACGAACACCGAATATGGAACCAGCCAGGAGCCCCTTTTTGGAAACGTCTATGGCGACGTGAAAGCGTCGCTGTGGTCGGCCCTCCACGACGGGCCGAATGCTGACTATGACGTCAGCAAATGATTTATGATCGATAGAAATAACTTTAATGTAAAAACTTCATTTCTGACGGTGTTGGCATGTGTTGCTTTCAGAGTGCTATGATTTCACGCTTCCATTATGCTAATTACAAACACCAACAAACGTGTTGTTCACTGCAGGAGGGCGCCACTAAAACAAACTCGCCGCTAATAGAAACCTTTCGAAAGACTGCTCTCTTTAGGTATCTGTGGAGTCCCTGTACAATGGCGGACTAAAGCCGCAAGTTCACGGCACACTTTATGCATTTGGTTGGATGAGAAAACAAAAACATCCACAGAAAAATGTGGCAAGTGCAGTGACGTCGCACTTATGACGCTGTTTGATTGGATTGTCGGCTCCTATAGCGTTGGCCGAGCTCCCACGTTCGCTATCTTATGGAATGACTTGCACGTTACACAGTATCTGTTGTCCCGCCAGTGTGCATTGGTTCTGACCTTCTATACTTCGTTTCAGCTTCGGTCCGAGCGCGGCCGATGTATACGAGCAGAAGGGCCAATCAAACAGCGCAGAAAGCAAAACGTCATGGCGTGCTCTCTGCAGTTGATAGGACCAGCCGGTATTCGCCGTGTCTCTGTGCGCGCTCCTCCGCCGGCTAGTTCTAACAAGAGCAGAGCACGCCATGACGCTGCGCTTTTTCCGCTCTCTGATTGGCTCTTTGGCTCATAACATCGGCCGCGCTCGGACCGAAGCTGAAACGAAGTATAATAACCGGCACGTGACTTCCGAAAGTGGTCTATTGGCCTCGAGATCGACCTAGAGGTGGCGCTACGGTCGCGCTATCATCATCATCAAAGCGGGGATAGGAGAACGGCCGCCCCATAGGCTCTCCACTTTCGCGCGCGAGACGGCGTATATTCTTGCGTTTATTTTGTAGCATACAATGGATGGGAAAACAATTCTTGCGGAAAAGGATGCGGTACTGTTCGCTGCTTCAGCGAACATCAAATCGTGTTGCCAGCGTGCGGCCTAAATTTATATAATCACTTCTGTGGGTGCGTCGTCTGCTCTAGGCAGACGTTGGAAAGCATGGATCACCACGACTGATACCTGTCTCCGGCTGAACTGGAATATCTATGTTAAATATTTGTTTCTTTCAAATGAATGTATCGGTTCATCAACGTGGCAATTAAAAAAAAGATAAGTTCCAACACAGATAACATAATACTGGTACTGTGGGCTGCGAAATCGCAGCTTCTATGTTTTTTTTTTTTTAACTTCTAGCTTTTGCAGTAATAAAGATATTTGGAATAAAGATAAGTTAGCGCTGTATTAGAAATTACCATGCAATTGCGTTCCTCTGCCCTTTTACTGTGCCATAGTGTGGGTAAGGTTTTTGGTGTCTGAAAAAATCTACTGCGTTGCGATGAGGACAGGGTGACTCATAGTTAAGATCTGCAAACTGCGCGGTTGGCAGGACAACTGAAACAAGTGAAACAAACTGTTCTAATATCCATGACTGTAATAAACGGGTGTAACCGAGCAATGCAGCAATGTTCCTTTTATTAAATGCTTTTCTCGGTAGTGTGGGTTCACCCGCTTCAATTTTCTTGGTGAGGGCCGCGGATGTCAAGAGGCTAATACTACAAATTTCTAGCTAAATAATCTTATAATCAAACACTGTCGACTCTGCAACCCCAACAAACGACGCGCACCACGACACAGACAGCATCGGCCGCAGTGATACTCTTTTATTGATGAGGGCTAGCGACCTTCACGATAATTTCCGATCACCCTCCGCCCTCACCTAACGTATATCAAAACTGGGCAGTTCATCGATTAACCTTCAGATTATTCAAGTAATGCTTTAACTGCGTTTTTTTTTGCCGGTTAATAGTAGTCTTGTGCTGGAGAAAGTCTACAAAAAGTAAAAAATGCCTACTTTAATATTTTTGACGTCTTTATTTCTTTTGTGACACTGGCTTGCACGGTAAACTACTTCAGCGTGCTTGTCATTTCACCGGGGGTGATTATACTCTTTAAATAATAACTTAAAAAATACTCCATTTTAAAAGGCCTCCCGTGTTCATATTTATGTAGGACTCACAACGTGAAGTTTAGAATGGGAACGCAATATGGCCATTTATGACATAGTAAAACCAGTAAAAAAATGTGTAGTTTTAATGTCTTTCACGCAATATGACCGGCAAAAAATCAACATTCGAATTTATTGATTGATTAGTCTATTAAAGGATAGCGATCAGTCGGGTTAATTTTCTAATCAGACCACAGACCCACTCAACATTCAATACTTTATGAAAGCCACGGTTTGTCCGAGATAACAAAAATACGTAGGACCAGCGATTGTATCCAAACCGGCACACTAAGATTGTGGAAACTTCCGCTTAATAATAATCGCTTTGCTGAATTTTTACGCATGGGAAACGATACAACGCAACCTTTAGTAAGAAGAAACGGCAACAATAACATAAAACATTTAATAAGGAATGTCAAACTCAGCCTGAAACGGGCTTGCCTCGTCGAGATCCATGCTTCTGAGCGTGCGCCCGTAGCAGACGACGCACGGCGGTATCCCCGCTTTCGCGCGTTTCCAATTTCGGCCGCACGGTGGCGACACGGTTCGATCTCGAGGCGAATAGTAATAGACGATGGAGCAGCTCACCTCAAAGTCCCCAGAATGCTTCACACACACCGCACGAGGGCGCGCGCTACTTTGCGTCGAAGTAGTCGAAGTAGAAAGAGTGCTGAAGGTCACCCACATGACAATACGGCATCTCGAGCGCTTCTCCAACTGGTGTGATTAGTGCCGTAGACCAACTACCCATCGAACTGATCCTAAAGTGCAACACAACGCGTGCCAGGAGCCGGCGTTTCGAGCTATCGATTCCCGCCATCATGCGGACGGTTATTATAATTGATTGGTTGCTTCGATTATTATTTTTTAAAGAGAAGATGGGGCGGTTCTGCATTTGGATAAAAAAAAAACACTTGGATTGGGTTCACTTTGCCGTTAGAATAACAGGTATCACAATTATGTTTCAATGAGACGCGCCGGAGAGCCATACGAGCAATTTCCAAATAGGGCTGAAGCCCCGCCTCCCTAGCCTTGGCAGCCAAAAGATTCGTCGATGACGTCACGTACAGCAAGTGTCTTTCGCGTTTTCTCGCGGTTCACAATACTTACGCAGCAAATGGTTTGGGTATTCGGGTGCGCGGGGTAAAAATACACTCGAATTCACTTCTAACTCATTTTTTTTCAAGAACTTCCGTAGCTTCCCTTTAATCAGGCACCCAATGTAGGCTGACATCGCCTCTGGATACTTCCCCAAAGTAGTGCATAATTATATTGGTTTCACTGCAAAATCGGAAGTCGAAGTTGCATACAAACAATGCTTTCAATGAAAATTTAAAACAAAAGTCACTGATATTGAATGATTCGGACACCAAAGTGAGGGAAATTAAAAGCAGAGAGTAGGCCACCCTACTGAGAGGATGCGTGTCCGTGCTGAACAACTCAGTAACCACAGCACTGAGTGCATCAACAGTGGTCATGATTTGGCAGTTAGTCCTTCTTGGTGACAGCTCCCTGGAACAAAGCAAACAAAAGCTATATTACGTACATAGTATAGAACTAAATGTAGTCGCTCTTGCAGCATCGACACACACAAAGCACGAAACCAACCTTATGTTTTAGAATAAACCTTACAAGCACACCGGGAATAAAACGAGGTGGTGGACAGTTTCCATCACAGTTAACTGCACCGCTATTAAAATGTTCACTACCCAAGAAGACATATAGACCGACACGCGGAGCGGCTCTGTTTACCAACACGGCCGGAAGGCCGCGCATGCGCGGTAGCTATGTGGGCAAAAGCGACCCGGCTGTCCGTGTTTTCGCCATTGCGTTGTGTGGCGTGCGCTCGTTGTTGACGTTGTAGGGACGCTTCTAGCTTTATATGTGGGTCGTGTTTCCTGGCAACGTATGTCGCATGCTGTGCCCGACTATTTGAGCTCGCTCCGAGCCTGAACGGCGGCGGTATCGAGACAAACAGTGCGTGGACGGCGTTGCCTACGAGGATCCGTACGCCGTAAAAAAGGCCTGCTGGACTTCCGACGTGAACTTGCTGTTACCGAAGTCGACGGCTCACGTCGTCGTTTACTTAGTTTTTTCGCCCAGCCAGTTGACGGCCGACACGAAGCAGGCGTACAAGTCTCTCGAGGCCTACGATTACTTCGATTCGGTTTCCGCACTGCCGGCGGGATCAGCAGACTCTGGGTCTGCGGAAGTGCTTTATTAATGAAATAAGTACACACAGCGTCTTCAAGCAAAAGTATGGTATTCTTCTTACTCTCATGACCACAAGGCATGACAAGCATTAACGCTTTGTCCGTTCTGCAGTCTTGGCGGTAATACGTTACAAGTAACGGTGTTACCAGGAACGCGTTACTTTTCAGTAACGTAGTAAACTACTCGCTCCTTGTTCGACGGAGTAACAGGTAACGTACTTACGTTACTATTTCAAGTAGCGTAGTTTCGTTACCTCGTTACTACAATTACACTTCAATTTTTTCCGTGTTTTTAGGCGTCAAGCTCTGTTTTTCTTTCCGTTTTTTCTCATGACTATTTAGCTGAAACCGTAAAAAGAGGTAAAGTAATTATGTTCAGTTTCTGCATGAACATAATGTTTCTTGATATATGAGCTTATGCACACCTTTATCGTCAAAACCGTAAAACGTGTTAAATCATAATTTAAAAAGTAACGCAGAAGTAACGTGCGTTACTTTTTATCGGTAGCGGTAACGCGTTCCTTTTATTTTTAGGCAACTTAGCTCAGTAACGCGTACCTTTGATTTGCAAGTAACGAGTAACGCATTTCGTTACTTTTTTTCGGTAACGCCTACAACATTGCCGTTCTGCCGCCGATCCCCTTCTGCTTGGTAGCACGGGCGTAGCGAGCCTCCGACGGGCGCTTGGCCGGTGCTTTGTGCGCGAACACTGTGGCAACAAAATCCGAGTGGTCTCGATCAGACGACGGTTTCCCTGCACATAAGCAAGCCTCGGGACGGAGATTGAAATGGAAGCCGCACTTGCCTCCAAGAAACTGCTTGCCGCACAAACGGTCGTTCGCGCGAGGAGACCATAATTTTCGATCCACGGATATTATCCACCTTCTATGCCTTTCAGAGTCTGCCGGGAACTTCTGGAAACTCATTCCGCGACTTTTCTTGCACATTTGGGTGCAATTAACGGCAGCACAGCTTTGCGGCATGCTGAAATGCCATGACGCCCATGCGAAACGTGCGCTCTTTTGCCCACACCCCCCCGACTCCGGCGCGATCGCAGCGCCGCCGCAGCGCCGTGACGTCAAGCCCGCGTGTCGGTCTATAAGTAACTCGAAGCCCGAAAATTAAATGCTTAAATTTAAGATTGTAAATAATTAAGATAAAAAGCCCCCCTCCCCCCCCCCCCCCCCCCCCAAAAAAAAAAAAAAAGTAACCAACTAACGCGTACGCAACACATAATTCAGTCTCCAAACGCTCCAATAGCCCAAGTCTTAGTTCTGATGAACTTACCACAAATGGACAATGCGCATGCAAACTAAGTTCCATCGGCATCCATGAGCGCTAACCTTGCACGATACATTCAAGAATGGTTCAGTCGGAATGCTCCCGTAATCGGTTTTGGAATAAACAAATAACCCATCGTAAAGCTGAACTGCACCCTTTAAATTTAAAGCTGTCACCTCAATGTACTACCGTCACATAACGCTGTCATACGTGCCCTCACAGCATCATTCAAGAACAGCATATTCTTACGTATTACAAAGAAGTTCTCATAGACCGTTTTTTTTTCCCTGTCCCTATCCTTTTAGCCACAAAGACACCATTATAGGCACCTGCAAATCTAATACCCGTGCCACACGGGCAACTCGAATGCCATTTACGACGAATGACATTTGAGCGGACGGCCAATCAGCGCGCGACACTCCGGGCGTGGCGCATTCCACGCGCGACAGATTGCGAGCTGATTCGCCGATCACACAAATGTCACCCGTTGTAAATGGCATTCGAGTTGCCCGTCTGGCACGGGTATTAGTCTGTGCTGATACGAGCGTACCCATCGGGAAGCGACCTCGGCACTCGCAGCTCGACTGCGGTGGTGCCCGGTGGGTATTGCAAGCTCGGCCGGATTAAAGTACGGGCTAAGGGGGCTGTAGCCCAGGAGCCCCGGCCCTCGGGGACCCCAAAATCTAAATCATAAAAAAAAAAGAAAATATATATATATATATATATATATATATATATATATATATATATATATATATATATATATATTTGTTTGTTTGTTTTTTTATTAAAAAACGTGAAAGTTACACTTATGCCGCTTGGGGAGGTGAGTTAAACGGCCAGGGGGACATATTATAGGGGGCTAATCGTAACGATCAGTCGACTAATTAATTAAAATTCGTTAATTAACTTTTTAATTAATGAAAATAGGCATATAGTTTCAATTAGAAAATTGCTCAGCGTCATCGAAAACTTCTAAATCAGTCATTTTCAGAAAGACTTTCGGCCCGTGAGAAGCGTATAGTGCACGAAAATTTCCACTCGTGGAGCAGGTACAAAGCTAGCGGTTGAGATAAGGCGCCCGAGCGATTTTTCCGTCTCTTATCTAGCCCCAGCCTTGTACCTGCTCCACGAGTGGTAACTTTAGTACAATACTACGTTTCTCACGCGTCGACAGTCTTTCTGAAAATGACTGATTTAGTGGTTTTCGATGACGCTGAGCAAGTTCCTAATTGGAACCATATGTCTATTTTTATTAATTAAAAAGTTAATTAACGAATTTTAATTAATTAGACGAGAGATTGTTACAATTAGCCCCCTATAACATGTCCCCCTGGCCGTATAACTCATCTCCACAAGCGGCATAAGTGTAACTTTCACGGCTTTTCTTAAAGAAATCTGTTAAGCTTAAAAAAAACTGTATATATATATATATATAAACGAATATGTGCAGATGAATGAACCGTACTTAATCCAATGAATCAAAGAATCAAAGTTTTCAGGAACCCGCCAAAAGCCAAACAACGCCGTTTTTTGGCTTTCGGCGGGTCCATTTTTAATTCGAACAAATTTATTTAAAAAAAGCCGTGAAAGTTACACTTATGCTGCTTGTGGAGGTGAGTTATACGGTCAGGGGGACATGTTATAGGGGAATAATCGTAACGATCAGTCACTAATTAATTAAAATTCGAAAATTAACTTTTTAATGAATGAAAATAGACATATGGTTCCAATTAGAAACTTGCTCAGCGTCATTCAAAACCCCTAAATCAGTCATTTTTAGAAAGACTTTGAGCGCGGGAGAAGCGTAGTAGTGCACTAAAGTTACCACTCGTGGAGCAGGTCCAAAGCTAGCGGTTGCGGTACAGGCGCCCGCGCGATTTTTCCGTCTCTTATCTAGCCCCAGCCCGGCACCGCGCCCCGTGGAGAGATAGTGCAACCAACTGCGCTGTCATCGCGCGACGCAGCAGGGGCTGGTTGCAGTATCTCTCCACGGGGCGCCGTGCCGCCGGAGCCCAGATGCGCTCCGATAACAAACCAAAACTTAGAAACCCGTCGATTTTATGCGGTTTTTCAGAAAGCCATAAAATGCTTCGCGTGCCTTCTATCGTTCTGCAATTTGTTGATTTAGTGTTTTTCGACGATGCGGAGCAATTTTCTAATTGAAACCATGCCCTTAAACACAATATTAAAAAAAGTTAATTACGCAAAAATAATTAACAACTTAATTATCTCGGACTTCAACAATTTTCCTAAATGGGCCGCTGGCCCAGGAGCCAGGACCACAACGCCACAAGCAGGGTTGTAAAAGTTACTTTAAAAATGTACCTAAGACACAGTTACAGTTACTCATACGAAAATTTACCTAGGTGCGTACAAGCTAATCGCTTAAAAATGTACCTATGGTACAGGTACAGTTACTTCAAAGGTACTTTTTTTTTTATTTTCACGTCACGTATTTTTTTCAGATTTGTCACATTATTATTGGAAGTAAATCCTTTGTATACTGGGATGTACACAAAAACAAGTTTGATAAACGTGCTTTATTGGTGTCAATGTTTTTAGGAAGGAAGATAATATTTTAACGCGAGCGCGTTTAGGAGCTCGTGTCACAGAAAATCCGTCGGATGTCGGTGGCGTCGGTGGCGTGACGGGAAATTCCTGAATGGTCGATAGGGTCGTGACGTCACAGCCACATGACTTCGTGCGGGAATTTCAAACAACCCATAACGCTCATGTGAAACGTGACGTCACGCGTGGAACGAAGGTGGTTAAAGACATACAAGAAAATGGTCGCCGCATGTTTCAAATGATCCCACTTGATAAACTACTTCATTTGCCTTAAAGAAAGATTTGAAGAATTTACGCAGGATCGCACCCACGACCCTTCGGTTGCGAGCTAGACATGCTACCGACTAGGCAACGGAGGGTTTGGGAATGGCACTGCGATCCTGCCGTCATTGGAGTGCCTCGATGTCTGTCTGTGTGAGGGTAAAGGCATTATCGCATCGAGTGTTG